CGAGCCTGATTTAAATGTCACACCTGAACGCTCACATCCTTTTAATTATGTTTTGAAATTATGAACATTCCTCAACATCATGAAAATTAAACCTTATTTTCAATAAGCAATCCTGAAAAATATTTGGGGGTGCTTAACTTTTTTCCAGGTGTATATATTTCAAATTCATGAAGAAAACAGCAGTAAGTCCATCAAATACATCTGACATCGTATCATAAAATTATCAACAAGCTAAACAGGTAGAACATTACTGTATATACTTATCATTTGTGATATGGTTTGGTGTAAAATTGTGTATGTTGTAGGATCGAAGAGTGATAATCTGGACTAATGATGGGACGAATGACATATGGAATTATAAAGTACTTCACACTTTTGATGATGTTGTTTGGCATGTCAGCTGGTCTGTAACTGGAAACATCCTTGCAGTATCTGGAGGTGATAACAAGGTAATCAAATAAACAATCACAGGGCATTAATTTCTCTATTATTTTTTTTCTTCTTCTAAATCTTTCTATATTTTCTAATTTAATTTGATAATCACAACACTTCTATCAAATGGAATTAGTCTGAGCATTTTCACTAAACATGAAAAAATTTCCGAGAAATTAGTCCTCATTTCTTTTTTGTTTCACAACTCATATAAATTTATCATATTTTCACTGTTTCCTCTAAATATAATTCTTATATTTTACTTTTCAGCCTGAATTTGTCAACCCTTGTATGTTTTAATGATTTCTAATTAAATACTTAGTTGATAGTCCAAATTAGGTTTATTGCCTATCTTCCTTTTTTATTATTATTGTTGTTTCTGTCACTGTGGGGAGTAAGTCTACAAAATATATGATTTAAAGATATCTAAAGAATTTGTCAGTTACAAAGGAATTTACATTTTCAAGTTATTCATATCTCAGTGTGTTCTGTTAGTAATGTCCTCGATCTATTTGTTTTAATCTATTGATATTGGTACATAACTGATGCAAAAGTTGCGCACCACCACTGATATTTTTAAGTTCTGTCCTTAATGTGATTTTTCTAAGTCCTTTTGTTTTACTATAACTTTTGTTTCCCCCCCCTGTTTGTTAAAATAGTTGGTGTGGATGTCATTAGCCTTACAATAATATGTGGAAGTGACCCTTTTATTGAAATTTTACATGGTTGATGACATCCTGACCAATTAATGTAACAAGACAACTCATGGAACACAAATGAATTTGATAAAGTATAATGAGTGAAACTTAGAAATAGAATGCTTTACCCAGTGTGTACGTTTCATTCAATTAATGGTTTGTTAATTAAAAACCTTTAAATTTATATTGTGAATTTTTAAAATTTGTTAACTAACAACAGTAATAACCTAACTGTTTCTGGTCTAGGTAAGCTTGTGGAGAGAAACACCTGATAGACAGTGGGTCTGCATCAGTGATGTTAATAAAGGTCAAGGACAGGTCACTGGAAATGTACATTCTTGAGAAAGAGCACTTTAGAATTGAGAAATGTCTATTTTTTTTTGCTTAACCAATGTACCAAGAATTGATATAAATATATATTTGTTTTTTCTCCTGTCATTGTGAAATTTGGATGGAGTTTCAAGTTAATTCTCTAGTGTTAAAGTTGCCTTATGGATATATTTAACAGGAAAGTTAAGTTTTTGTAAGAAATAATTGTGCATTGTACAATTCCAGAGTGTAAATTCTCCCCAAAATACTATTAAAAGGTTATTTATTTATTTTTTAAATTCCACATTGAAAACTACAACTGAATAAACCTAAATGAACAGCAGTTACACAAACTTGTTACCATAACTTAAACATCCCACAGTTAAACTCCAATTGAATAGACCTAAATTAACAGCAGTTACACAAACTCGTTACCCTAACTTAAACACCCCACAGTTAAACTCTAATTGAATAGACCTAAATGAACAGCAGTTACACAAACTCATTACCCTAAGTTAAACACCCCACAGTTAAACTACAATTGAATAGACCTAAATGAACAGCAGTTACACAAACTCGTTACCCTAACTTAAACATCCCACAGTTCTTCAACTCCAGGTGTAGTGCCTGTTAGACTACCTTGTGTAAGTATTAAGACATTCTGAATATTCAATGTGTGAGTAATTTCCTTGGATATGGGTTCTAATTAATGTAGCTTTTCTCTGTAATACTATTAACAGTGTTTCTCATGGGATTTTGTGCTCACATTATCATTATAGCTGTCTTCAGTCTTCAAGTTACCCTTATAAAGGCTTGGTGATTCTACGTTAGAATTAGGTAAAAGCTTTAATTTAGACTTAACTATTTTGTAACAGGCACTTCTGGTTGGCTGTAGAAAGGGTGTAAATATAATTGTATCAAATAGTCCAAGATAGGGTGAAAGCCAGGCATGGCCAGGTGGATAAGGCGCTCGACTCACAATCTGAGGGTTGCGGGTTCGAATCCGCATCCCACCAAACATACTCGCCCTTTCAGCCGTGGGGGCGTTATAATGTGACGGTCAATCCCACTATTCGTTGGTAAAAGAGTAGCCCAAGAGTTGGCGGTGGGTGGTGATGACTAGCTGCCTTCCCTCTAGTCTTACACTGCTAAATTAGGAACGGCTAGTGCAGATAGCCCTCGTGTAGCTTTGCGCGAAATTCCAAAACAATCAATCAATAGGGTGAAAATGGCCATATTTTTGTAATGTATGAAATTATTTTTTTTTGTAGTGACGTGGTTTTAATAATTGTGTTCTTCATATTGATTTCTTGGACATAAATTAGTTGTCACATGATATCAGTTATTAGCTGTCCGTGTAAGTGATAATTAGTCACCAAGTTAATTAAACAAGAACTTCTTGATTTCCCCCCCCCCTTTTTTTTTCTAAAAATTTACAAGTTTTAGTTAAAAATTTTGGTTTAAAGAATGAGAAATTCTCTAACGTTAAATTCTTCCTACTTATAAACCGTTAAATTATATCAAATACTGTTCTAGTTTAATGCTTGTATTAAGCACCAGATGGCAGAACGGTTGGAAATGTGAGAAAGGAAGATAGACAACCACAAAGCAAATCTAAAAAAAACAAGAAATCCAAAAACTTGGCTCATCTTTATTATTGAGATCACATTGACAATATACAGTTTCACAAACACTTAGAAATGGTGGCAGTGATATTTACAGATTTTTTTTTTATGAAATACTTCATAACAACACAAAACAATTGTTTGATTAATCAGACTTTTCTAAAGTAGCTTACAGAATATCGTAAAGGAACAGATTTGTGCATATAGCAAATAATGAACATTAGACGGAAATATTAATACATAAACCTAAAACTGGAATTTCAATATACGTTTGTGTTGGTACGGTTTCCCCGTTTGATCATCTGTAAGTTTACGGACTGACAAAGTTTAAGTCCGAATCTCAATCATCCGTGGTGGACAGATAGCCCATTGCGTAGTTTGTACTAAGACAAGAACAACAAACATGTTTTAAAACTTGTTTCACCTTTTTTTTGAACGAGAATGTGACATGTTAGTCTCGTTAAGTTTTGATAAAAAAATCTGACGAATTTAGTGTTTACACCTGAATGTATTAAAACTCTTCCATAAACACGTCTTTTTAAAACATAGAATGTTATTAGGGGTTAGAAGGCTTAACTCTGGTGGTTTAGCGGTAAGTCTGAGAACTTCTAACTCTAAAAATCGGATTTCGATACTCGCAGTGGGCAGAGCACAGATAACGCATTGTGCTTAACAAAGCTACACGTGTGTGATACCAGGAAGGATGTAGCGAGAACAGTCCGTGTAGTAGTATTATATAAACTACGTAGGGTAGAAATGGTAAAATGTATCCTTGTAAGAGAAGTAGAGCCTAAATAGAAGTTGATATGCTGCCCGTTTATTGTGGAAATGTTTCATTATATTATCTATTCTAATCTCTACTAATGGTTATGGTGTATGTTATACGTTTTACAGAATCTCGGTGTTTTAAAATTAGCAACATATTTACTATTTTGTTATGTTGTAATTGTCATGATTTTTGAAGAGGGGGGTAAAATAACTTGTTGATTTATATAAGGTCACGACAACAATTCTAATCAAATACCCAAGTTGTTTGATTGTTCTGCCTGTATAAAGATACTGTCCCCAAACTTGTTCAATATTTTGTTGTGTTGTAATTGTCTTATGATTTTTGAAGAGGGGGGTAAAATAACTTGTTGATTTATATAAGGTCACGACAACAATTCTAATCAAATACCCAAGTTGTTCTGCCTGTATAAAGACACTGTCCCCAAACTTGTTTACTATTTTGACAGGCTTTTTATGGTTCAAAGGTCATTTGTCGAAGCTGTTTCTACTGAGATCTTTATGGTTTGAATGTCATATGGAACACCATGTTTAGTACATAGGTTTTGATAATATTTTTTGTTGTTATGAGGAGAAAAAATTGACTACACACTTTAAATAAAAGTGTAGAGGTACATCTTTTCAATGGGTTGTTTATTTTTTACCTTTTTTGTTTGACTTTATTAGAACGTTTCGACCACTCGTGTGGCCATCATCAGGTAATTCTTCTATTTATAGCTAAACAGAAAAATAAATTAGGTGAATGTGTGAAATGTGTACTGGAATGTCTACTGGGCATATATTGGATTGGTTTTATTAATAGGACTTCTCCGATTTTTCTTCTGTTAATGCTAGGTTCGTGTTTTAGTGTGGTGACACTGTTCGGAGAAAGTGGTTGGTTTTGGACTTGAAAAGGTATTGTTCTTTTAACCCGTTTTTCAAATTAGGTCACGTTTGACCTACATAAAAAACTGGGAAATTGTTACATCGCATTTTGTAAATGTTTCCTCCGGGGTAGGTTCCTTATATAATATTCTTAATGTGTTTAATTTTCATTCCAGATGTGAAAATGAACTTAGTCGTTATATTAAGGTTATATTTATGTGCTAATCTTTTATAAATATCTGTTAAAAACCTGTTCACTGTAACATAATGCACCAGCGGTCGAAACGTCGTACATGTTTAAAAATTGTTAGTTTGAAGGTTATCAGCACGTTCAATTTTTTTTAAAAAATAGTAGAAAACTGAGTGTTGCATAACAATGTTGTGGTTTTTAGACTATATCTGAGTGTTAATATAATTGTGTGTTAAGAATAGGGGTAATTGGTTCATTTTTTAAATCCTGAAATGGTTTAAGTGTTTTTATTGGCTCAACGTTTCGGTTTTCAGCCAACCCTTTAAAACCTTTATCTTTATTTTAGTGTATTTCATTCTTAGCTCTGTTCCTGATGAAGACACGAAACATTGCGTCTCTATAAATAAATAAATAATATATATTTGTTCTGGAGCTACTGGTCCTTTTTCTTACAAACAAAAGTACCCTATACGCTAGCCAGAGCTTCCTAGCTTAAACTTCGAATTATTGTTTTGTAAAGATAAGTAAAAACCCCTATAAATAACACAATTCAGTATTTCGGAACATATGAGGATACACTTATAAAAATAACTTGATATTTTTGGGTTTATCAGATGAGAATGTAAGTGAAATGGAAATATAAATACAAAATGTAGAATATTATATAAAGTTTTAATACTATTGTCGCATATGATAACATGAAAAACCTTGTGATAACATACTCACTGGAAGGATATGTAACAACTTAACACGGATCATCGTTACATCCGCTCTGGACGTCCAAACCACAATGAGTTTTCTAAGCTAAGACGAAGACAAAAATAATTATTTGACAAAAAGTGAGAGACAATTGTAAATGGCGAACCGCTGGACCGACTGTCACCAAACTTGGGGTGTATAATTCTCAGGTCCTTACGAGTGAGCTGCGCTATGTTTAGTCTCTATAGAAGTATGTTGGAAATCATACGTCGAAACGTTGTAATTATTAAAATCAGAACTCGCCTCGTGTGAAAGTTGCTGTTATTGTATTTTCGGTTTAAAACTAACAGTTTTATGTCTGGACTTGTCTGTAGGCTTAAGACTGAATCCTCGCATAATAAAAATAGTGTTTGTAAGGGTAGTTGAAAGCAGTGTATACATTTTTGTGTTTTTCCTATGGACGTCGTGTATATTCCACGCATAGTTCGTTCTTTCTGTACTTACCTTTTGATTTATTATTAACTTTCTTTTGTGGTTTAAACACTAGAGCTCAAGATTATTTGAAATATGTTACTTATGGGTCAGCAACTACCTCTAGTGTAAACTCATCGAACCATTTAATTTACACTATATATTGTGAAAAGGAAGACACAGACAAGAATATTTTACTAAGTTACAGCCAAAAAACAAACACTTTATACAATGATATGTAGAACGTACAGTGAAGTTATAATGTATAACATATATTATTTTAAAATAACCAGTTAAATGTGATTAAGGCGTGAATTCATTTTAGAAGTATTGTGTATCTTTTTCGCCTTACTTTGAGTACATTTTAAACACTGGACATAAATATATATTGCGGAAGAAAACGCCTTTAAAGCTCCTAGAATTTAGCAATTTTTAACCACAAGGTTTCTTACTAAGAAGATGGATATTTCCAACATACGCTTTATTCTGAGTTCAAGTTTTCAACAACCCTTTGGATACCTTAGAATACTGTTTACACTTCGCAATGTAGGCGTTGGTGTTAATATTCAAACTTGTATTCAATTTACATCGTCATGCGTACAAAACTAGGAAATATTTAGAAAACATTGTGTGGTATTTTCAATCTTCTTATTCAACACGTAGGCTAAGTCATTGGGTCGGAAACCCCACGTTCGGGCATAGCCGCCTCTAATTCAGAACTACCGACTATAGATAGGGCAATAGCACTTCTGTCTACACTTAACGAAGAAGCGGGATTTACTGTTACTTTTATAACCCATACATAGTTGAAAGTGCAGGGCGTGCTCAACGGCATATCACGAGGTCGAACCTTTGACCTTTTGATCCGCAGCCCAACATACTAACCACTGGGTTACGTCCAGCTCATTAATTTTCTAATGATAGTACACACATTATATTTTGTCATTACACTTCTATGTAACTAACTGCCGGCCATCTTAACTTTTCTTTGCTAGACTCGCGTCTTGTCTTGGTAATTTGTTGTCAATAAAAACTGGCTCAGTCTGACATGCTTGGTCAATTTGCATTAAATATTCTGGTGAGTCCTTCAAAAACCCGCTATCACCTTGATGTAGTTGTTCAATATCTATAAAAGGGCTCTTTTGAAGGTCTGGAGTTAAAGAAAAGAACATGCGGCTATTGGTTAGTGATGGTCCTTTATCACTGTTCGATCTTCTTAGTTGACCCTCTTGTTGAAGCAGGTCCTCTCGCGGGGAGCAGTGTTTTGTCTCCAGGAGTTCATAGCCATCAGAATTAGTGTGTAAGGAAAATGTCGAGCTTTTTAATTGACCAAAGTACCCTCTAGAATATGTCTTGTATCTTGCTGTCCAGGTCTTGTTTATATCTATCATAGATTGACTATAATGTGATTTTCTTGCCAAATTATCTACTAAAAAGTCATTTGTTTTTTGACAGTAGTTTTCTTGCGAAAGCTGAATATCGAGATAAACTGCGGAGTCTGGGGTTATGTCCTCCGTTCCACAAGCTACGTTGACCTGTCCAACACCACTTACACATGGCAAATTCAAGTTAAGCTGGAAGTCGTGATTCCGCCGTGTACTTGCAGCTATAGGAGAAACGCTGCGTGCCATGACGTCAGGAATATCAATGTTTGATGTTTTATTCTCGTTAATTTCACCGAAAATAGCAGGAGAACGGTTAAGAAAGAAAGTCACATCGAAACTATTGGCAGCACTTTCGGAACTGCAAGTACTGCCTTGTTTCCTTGGGGTAAAGTCCAGAGCGCTACTGGAGAACCCGTTCTTTGACGTTACATTACTCAACTGTTCGGGAGACAATTCCATGCTGTTGTCTGTTGTATCTAAGCTCCAATGGCTCATTCGCTTCAGTCGTGAATGATAAAAACCAGTTTGAAAGAAAGGAGACAAAGAATTTTGAAATAAATCCTCTTCACACAATGTCTGAATGCTAGACCCAGCTTGGGCCTTAGTAGATTCGTTTTCATCGTGGTAACTTAGGACTTCTGATTGCTCATCTTCATTGAGATGTAAAGGTTGTTCTGGGTCAGCTGCAGTACGAAAACGGATAAAACCTTGATCAATATACAACATGGAGGTAGAACTTCCGTCAGTAAGCTTGTCTTCAGAGTTGATTGGCTTCTGGGATTCATTATTACAATCATTTGTCTTAGTAGGATGATTTGATTGGCCAGAAGATAAAAGGTTTGGTGCACTTGGGTTTGTCTTTTCTTCTTCCTTGTCACCATTGGTTGATATTTTCTTCAGGTGAAAATTACTGTCAAGTTCCATAGTAAAAGTTGGAATTGTTGGAAGAGAAGTGGTATAATTCCATCTTCTTGGTCTTTCTAATGATGTCTTATGGAAAGCAACATTAGGGTTACCTTGATGATTAGATAAGAAAATAGGGAAAATTTCGATTTCTACATCCTCATTTCTGGAGCAAGATCCTATAACTGCACTGCAGGGTAGCCACAATAGAAAATTACGACATTTATGTTCATTTGATTCAAAACGTTTTATTGGAAGCATTGCTATAAAACTCAAGGTAAAGCACATTAAAAGTTCCACCACACGGGAGCCCGACTGATATCCCCACCAAATCCATGGTGTAGGTCTTTTAGTTTCGAAAACTCCGTATACGTAAATTATTCCAAATACACGTAGAGCTACCATTACTAAGCAAAACACTACGACCATAATTGTTGATCGAACAGCAAGACACAAAGTAGGCTTTGGAAGTTTCTTGGGTAGCTGGGCACCATCAATATGGAGTCTGGTAAAAGCAACTCGGACCATCTCACTTTGTTTCCTAACTGCTGATTTATATAGCTTTCTAAAAACGTATAAGTATCCAACCCCTAACGTTAAACCCCACAACGACTGTGTAGTCTGATACACTAAACGTAGTAACGCACCACCCAAACCAAATCCTTGTAAGACATCTGTTGTGGTTGAGAAAATAAACTGGAAGATTATAATTCCGGATAAAAAGCTCGAATTCTGGATACAATGGGGTAAAATAACGACTTTGGTGGTTTGCAACAAAGCTAGGAACAAAACAGCAAAAGCTGAAGTTACGCATAGAAAGCCACTGTTGAAAATAAAGTTATTTAAAACAGCGGGATATAATCCTTGTGTATTATAGGGATTAAAAAGTAGGTACAAAGCTCTGGTGATTCCCATGACAAAAACCATCAAATTAATACTGATAACACACCCACGGCTAAGAAGTTTCTCAAATGTTCCTAATCTCAGAATACTTAAAAAAGAATATAGTGCCAAAAGCCCAAACAAGGAACCTATTATATAAATGTGGAGTTCCCATGAAAGCCCCCATTGTTTATGGGATTTTTCCCATTCTGGTAAATTTCTTAGAAAATATTCTTCCTCATTTTTTACAGAATTAATATTTGTTGTAGTTACAGTTTCCTCTTGATGGTCAATGTTGAGATTAGTACTTGATTCCCCATTCCACGGGGAATCATCGAATTGTTGGTCAAGAAATAACGTTGTTCCTATACTATCTCTTTGTTGGTTTTTTGTCGTTCCAACCGTAGTTACTAAGTTCGGGTTTGATGACTGGCGAACATTTTCAAAATTCACCACTAAGTTTGGAGGTTTCATTATTCTGGTAGAATTTGCTTGGGCTGTAGTGTCCACGCTGCTGAAAGAGGAGTTTGGAAGCTGAGCATCAGCTACAAACATGCCTGCAGGAAAATGTCCTTTGTTTTTCTCGGAGAAATTAAAACGGTGTTCGTTTTCCTTATACCTGCTGATCAGTTTTGGATTAAAGCGCAATATACTTGACTTGGTGTTATTAATCAGTTTATCAATGCTCTCATCGGGTATTAGCCTGGTTTCTTTCGTAGAATCTATTTGTTTTTTAAAAGTGGTCATAGTTGAGTTTAATTTCAAAAAGTTCTCTTCACTGGCATTATTAAAATCTGGCCCAGAGCCAAAGATTTGAGTGGTATTGATTTCAACAGGATAAGAAAAAGACAGGTTCTGATGCTGATTCGACATTGTTGTTGGAGATTTAAATAATGGAAACCACTTAATCTTGTCCTTTAGTAGATGTTCATACTGATCACTGGAGTTGTTTACTTCGGTATAACTGCTGGAATTGTACTTTGGTACAGATCCTTCTCGGGATTGGGAGACATCTAGTGCACAATGGTTCGTGGAGTTATGTTGATGTATTGATTTGTTTGATGCACAAAGGACAGTTTCTCCAAGACGTTTTTCAGAATTATTCTGTTGTCCAACTTTATTAGAAAAGCTGGAGATATTTCCAGCAGTGTGTCCGGTAGTGTTTGGCAGTTGTGTCGGTTTTGCTGGAAGAATGGAGACATTTGCCCTCTTATTATCTGTAGAGTTATACTGCAGTACAAGTTGCAAAGAAACATTATAAACATCTACTGCAAAAGGATTTATGGGTGTACCACGTGGTACAGGACTCTCAAAAACATCAGAAACTTTTTTTACATTAGGATTACTTCTGGAGTGATATTGTGGTATAAGTTGTTGATGAACATATCTTCCAAAGTGAGCTGTAGAGTTGTACCGTGATTCAAGTTCCCTGAGAACACCAGTAACATTTGAATTAAAGAGAGAAGTTGGATCATACTTTGGTATTGGAGTTTGGGGAATATCAGCGAAATTTGTTTTAAAATGAGTCGTGGAGTTATATTGTGGTACTGGTTCTTCAGGAAAGTTTGTCGTATCTATTTCAAGGTACTCGGTGGAGTTATGTTGTGGTATTAGTTGTCCAGTAACATTGGTGATATTTGTTCCAAGGTGTGTCTTTGAGCTATATAACGATGCAAGTTCTCCAGTTCTTGTAAAAGGAGTGTCTGAATCATACCGGGATTCGGGTTCATTAGAGAAGTCAGTGACAGCAGTTTTAACCGAAGGCATGGAAATATTTTGCAATGTTGGTTCCCCATTTGAGCTAGTTGTCATATTGTGTCTTAGATAAGAAATAAGAGTGATGGGTGTAGTGCTTGAAAATAGTCTATTGTTGCTAATATTGGCGAAATTGCGATCACTAAATAAGGAAGTTTTCAAGATGGAATGATTGTTTTGGTGAAAACTCGATAATTTATCATCTCTGTTTAAAACTGTGTTGAGTTTATTTTTTTCACGAACACTGTCAGAAGACTTAACCAAGAAATCGGGAATTCGAGAAGAAATATCAATATACTCTCTTTTATCCGAATCTTCAACTAGTGATTTATTACCAATAGGACTACTCATAAAATCTTTATTTTTTTCTTTCTCTGTGGTTTTGTTTTCTGGTTTGAAATTGAGTTTTTGATATTGCTGGAAATCGCTAATAGATTCCTTTAAATCATCCTCTTTAGCTATGGATCCAAATTCGTTGTCTTGTGATTTGTTACTCAAGAAATGATTTGATGTAATTCGATCATTTTTCGGGAAAGATAAATTGGGTTTTAATTTTTCGATTGTCTCTTCATGCTGATATCCTTTTTGTTCCTTCGTTTCATCTGTAATAATACTGGTATCTGTATATTCGCTTTTCTGTTTAAGGATAGTTGAGGTTGAACCACTGACGTTTAAGACTTGCAGAGGAGTGGGTATTTGTGGAACTGAAACTGGAGTAGAATATATACCATCATCAATAACCCCTTTCTTATCTTGAACATTATCAGAAAAACGAACACTTTCAGAAGATAGAGAAGTGTCTAGTAACTGCGAGCTGTTAGGTTTATCGTTACTGTAAACATTCTGTAAGTGAATCAGTACAAGAATGGCTATCAGCCACGAAAATGTTTGATTTGTTTTCGACATTCCCGTTAGTACCAAAACACTAATGATCCACACTGTTCACATTTGGAATAAAAAGCTCCTTCATTCTGCCTGTTATTTCAAGGTTTTCGTTTAGATGAACTAGACAGTCTTTGTTCCTCATCAGGTAGTCAAAGGAGACCCTGCAGGCAATGATGTCCCTCGTGCGTCATTAATCCGGCTTCAGAAATCAGTAGAGCAGATGACTTCATCGTTACCAGTCTTTGAGTCTTCCAGTGCAATCTTGTGATATCTACAGATGTCGAAAAATCAGGTTGGGTTTAGAACTTTATCTATTCTCTTTCAGTCTCTTCGTTTCCTGACTGGTGACTTAAATGGTTGCAGTGCTTCTTACAGAATAACGATATCCAAACCTAAATAATGTAGGAAAAAAAGACTCCCGTTAACATAAAACACCAAATAATTACATCATACTAGATAAATATGCAATATAGAAATAATTATTTTTTTAGGTTGTCAGAGCAAAAGTTTGTTTATTATATTTCGCCATTTTTCGAAGGAAAAAATATGATAATCTTTTAATTAATTAGCTTTGTCTGAGAGCTTATAATGCTAACAATCTGGTTTCGATATCTGTAGTAGGCAGAACACATATAGCTCATTGTAACCTATCAAATGTTTTTGGAGTTTGGCAATTTTTTCTTTAAATGTTAAAGTTTCTTATCAAAACTACTGCATCATTTTATGCATCATTCTGTTTCTTTTCTAAGATGACAAAACCATATTTTTGTTGAAAGGAAGTATATATAATTGTGATGCCGGAGTGTAGCACTTTCAACAATATATTTTGTGCGTTCAAAAGTTTCCAAAATCTAAGACTAATGACAATCGTGAGGAGAAATGATATAAGGTAATAAGTTCTTTGGTTCTAAGTAAACACTTTGCATTAAGTAACTGAATATACAAGTAAAGCTTAATTAAAACATAATTGGCAGCTAAAAAAGATGCATCGAACAATGGTTGCATGGATGGATAAACAGAGAAACGTGCACGACGATTAGAAGAAATATCAGAGATTAATATATAGGATAAAAAACGAAAGACAAAGATTGGTATGCACCGAAAAAATCCGCAAGCAATGAAAAGTTAAAGTACTAACTACGAAACAAGAACATGTCATAACAGATTTTTTCATTATTTCTTGCTATGTTTCGGGGTATGTCGCTCGAACACTGTGTTTGCCAGCTAAGTCTGACGAAGAGTGTTCGCCCTAAAAGTAGCAACATATAAACAAACTTTTCTTACATGAAGTGTGTCCAGAACATCGTCTTTTAGTTTGATGCAAATCGACATAACGAAGGAAAAAAAATGATGGAGGACGACACAGAAAATGTAGGTGTTTACATCATTCAAATCGAATTGTGTGTGTAATCAAGCTACTTGCAAACATTATTAGCCTTACGAAATATGTTAAATTTTAAAATATTAAAAATTATTAGTTGTTCAAAATACTATTTAACAAGCTTAGAATAAATAACACTGCACAGATTCTTAGTGATTCCTAGGAGAAAAGCCGCCTCCTCTCGGAAACTCTACGATAAGTTTGAAGGCTTAAAACGCTAAAATTCGGGGTTTGACATCTGAGGTGGATATAGTATGGATAGCCCATTGTGCAAAAATCCAAAGATGTTGTTTTCTAAGTTTTTTGTCTTTGTTGTATGACTTTGTATAAATATGTACCACTGAATTGATTAAAGCTTTAGTTATACATTATGTGCGTTATCGTTTCTGGGAGGTTGAATTAGATGGTTGGTCTTCAATATATACATCCTTAGGCACGCATGAGTCAGTAGGAAATTGAATCACAAGCAAATCCATGTGTCAAGGGGTCGTCAATATATTAGATATGTATATAAATTACCTTAAGTAACTGAAGGGTAAAAAAGGTACAGTGATGTAACAAATCAGTTTAGACGAAACATGCACCTTACTGAAATTACCAATAAGTGTTGTTTTTTTTCGTTTTTTATGTTTCAAGTGCAACGGAATTAATTAAACGATGAATCGATCCTTGGTATTTAAACTTGTTGTATCCCTCCCTCTCAACTCATACAGAATGAATCACCCTCCTCCCGGGCCTGGAACAAATCTCACAGTACAGTCTATTTTAATAGGACACGGTACCTTTGTGTATGAGTAGCTAACATGTAAAACTAATGTGCAAACATGTTTATTTTACACATGCTATTAAAGGGAGGGAATCTTAGAGCTTAGTGCTAAAAACATATCGATGAATCGAACTTTTATCAGTTTTGAAGTTATAGAAGCGTTAGTGTATATCTGACACCAAATTATAAATTTGACAACCACGTTGACAGTTAACAGCACTGACTTATATTATCAGATTATCTACCAAGTTGACAGTCAACATCACTGACTTATATTATAAGTTTATCTACCACGTTGACAGTTAACAGCATTGGCTTATATTATAAGTTTATCTACCACGTTGACAGTCAACAGCACTGACTTATATCGTAACTCAACAACTCCGGGTTTTTCGTGTCCATTTTCAAATCTGGTATTCTTAAAAAAAAGTCGTAATGTGCATAGTTATATCAAATCATCAACGTTTCTTAGACTAAAAGTATAAACAAGAGGGAATTCTCCATAGCCGCGGCACTTGAAGTTATTTTAGGCACAATTAGAGTAAATTAATCTATGAGACTCCACCCCCCCCATGACCTTCTTCATGTAATCCTGTATCACTGTGTCAAAGTTTGTTGCCGATTTGACAGTTTTTCCGAAATGAGATATGAAATTGGATGAGGGTCTAACTCCCCTCATGTCATCCTGTATCACTGTGTCAAGTTGTGCTGATTTGGTAGTTTTTCTGAAATGAGATATGAAATTAAATGGGGTCTAACCCCCTCATGTCATTCTGTATTAGTGTCACGTTTGGTGCAGATTGATCAAGAATTGTGGAACCGTAGAAACGTATAAGGAACAGATACACACACACACACACACATATTGACGTTTATTTATATAGATTAGGGGTCAAGGGGTCAACCCCCTCATGACCTTCCTCACGTTATTCTGTATCACTATGTCAAGTTGTGCTGATCTGGTAGTTTTTCGGAAATTAGATATAAAATGAGATGGAAGCCAAACCGCCGGGGATTCAACCTCCACCTTCTATGGAAAAAATTATATTACAAAGTTGTCATCTATATACTACTAAAACTCTGAAACTGTTTGTTTGTTTTTTGCTTGTCTGTAACTAAATACAGCAAAAACGGCGCACAATAGCGCCATATTTGTAATG